AAAATATTTTATCATAATATTTTTTTCAAAAAGTGTTTAATTTTTGCACCTATGCCACCAGTCATATTATTTCATCCAGTAGCTAGTTAATCTTTCACCAGAAAACCGTTGAAAATGGCTTTTATGATGTTCCGAGGGATTCGGCGGCTCAGCCTAAGGTCTCAGCCTCTTGTGCGCACGAGCATGTTACCGGTGCGCCAAGTAGGAAGAGGAATGCACAGGAGACAATCGTTTGATTGCAGACTGTTATGTATATGTGGGGAAATGGTGGTGCATACATTATTTGAGATATATTTCAAACTCGGACTTCATTTTAAGGACATGTCGGCCAGGGGTGTAGAGCTATTTGTTTAAGCACCGTATTGGCAAAACAGGAGAGTAAACCAGTCTGCCTTGATCTATGAATTAATGTCCGGGACTCTCACGGTATCAGCTGCCCGCAGCTGTTTTATAGAAGGAAACCCCCCTCTCTTCATGAAATGGCTGCAGCATCAGGAGGCAGCGGGACGTATACTCGGTAAAGAGCTGTGCCTTTTTACGCACCGCCTTCGCTGTGTTTAACTTAATCAGAACAGTTTAAGAGTGACTGCAGGCTGCTACGTGTTAACCACACACACATCTACACACATCGAACTGCCGGATTACTCCCCCTTTTATTAGTTTTATGAAGGAGATGTCCAGTCAGTCACCAAGGCGCATGATGTGTGTGTGTATGTGCTCTGCTCAGCTCAGCTCTGTGTGTTCGGTGTGTTTGTGTCTGTCCGACACCGGCATATATGCGGCTGTTCCCAAAATAAATTAGTTTAATCTTAATCTCGATGTAGTGCTAAATGCTGTCGGGAGTGCACACAGGCGACCGGACATATCCTTCATAATGTGCCTTCTCCTCGTTTTCCCAGCATTCACTGGATTATCCGTAAATCAATCAAACAAAACCAAAACGTTGATTTATCTGTTTTCCCGTTTTGGTTTAAAAACTGAATAACGTCGGTTTTTTGGTTTTCCGAAAAAACAAAAAACAACACCGGTTCTTTTTTAAACTTTGTTAATATGTTTTGGATGCATATTGTTCTAGTATTTGTTCAGGCTGTTACATACAATTAGCCTCTGTTGCTACCTGCTGGTGGTGAGTACATTTTAAAATCAGTTAAAATTGACAACCGGTCCGCGATTTTTTTTTAATGTATCTGCCGGTCCTTGGCACAATAAAGGTTGGGAACCCCTGACTTAGAGCACTATTGGATTGGCAGCCTCTCCACATTAATGATATTGCCTACATATTCATCTGCAATATTTTAAGATTGCACATACATATAGTATTTTTACATTCACTAAGCAGGTTGAAAAACAATACAAATTCCTTGCAACTGTCCCTTCACTGCATATCATTTTGAATCCTATGGTTAGTTCTGAGTAGACAGCCTTGATGGCCAAAGGGTGGAGAAATGACCCTGTCTGTCAGTGAAGCTGCTTTATTTTGCTAATTGTGTATGAAAAACAACCTGAGGATTTACAAAGAGGTTTTCTGATGCTATATATTAAACAAATGACTGTGTAGGAAGTTGTGTTTGACAAAAACAGTGTAGTTTACTCACAATGAATGTTGGCGCTCCTTGTCGGCATATTGAAGGCTAAGCGAATGCACACCATATTTTTCACATCATTTATCATTTCCCATGTACCATTAGTTGACATTTAACAAAACACCAAACCTTTCAACATACCAGTTCAATCAGGAGAAACGTTGATGTATGGAATACATATTTATTACCGGGACACATAATATGATGTAATAATGATTGCCACAATTATAACAGGAGAATTAAATGGTGTTTGGCGATTAGGCCCCAGTTTGCAGGATAATCATTCAGGAGGGGGAAGATCCGCTCCGATCAAACCCCCAAAAGAAGTGAAGTATGATATACTGAGATGAAATGAGTTTCTTACCTTGTGGGCTGACTGCAGTGATCTATGGAGGAAATGAGAGATTAACACATGATCGCACAATTTGCCGGAATCAACTGCCGGGCTTACGGGTCCACCCAGAGACGCTGACTGCCGAAATCAGTGCCGGGCTTATATGAAAACGACCCGACGGTCGCCTGCCTGGCTACGCAGGGCTTGACTACGCCGACACGATGGTCGGACGGCCTGACGATGCAGGTATCTTTATTATGTAGACACGGAGGTCTACACGGACACGAAGTCCACTCTTCTTCAAAAGGACGGCCGGAACGCTACCACTAAACAGACGGCTGGAATCACTGCCGGGCTTACTGTACATCATAAGATGCTGACCCGAAGGTCGACGGCCGAAATCAGTGCCGGGCTTACGTGAACGCTACCACTAAACAGACGGCCGGAATCACTACCGAGCTTACGTGAACACTACCACTAAACAGACGGCCATTAACACAGGGTTAGACATTAACACGATGAACACTACCACTAATATGCATACATACCAGAGCTTTGGATAGCCAGACTGTTCACACAAACAGTCAGATATAAATGCTTCACACTGACAACCAGATGATGCATGGAAACTTCAGCGCGGCTGTGGTTGGGCTTCACACTGAGGTGTGAATACAAAGGGGCGCTTGTACCTTTATCATTCTATAAACCTCAGAAAGCTGGGCTTACACTGCTGATTTACCTGTTTTTGTATTTCTTCGTTGGCAAGTGAAATTCACTCATCACACTATGTGATAACCCTTTTCATTTCACCTTACTGCGAGTTGATGCCTTTTTATCTGTAGTCCCAGTCCTAGAGGGGAGGTGCCAATCATTCACTGAACCCACTCAAGTCTAATCAAAGCAGGAGTTTGAACCGTTATCTAAGTTAACTTTGTCTGATGATCCACAAAATGTTTGACAGCCCCGCTAAAGTCAGTTGTTGACGAACAGACAGCCTGTTGAATGTGGTGAATGAATGAAAAACACACTATATCAAATATCCATATATGATATGTTAATATCGTGATTGCACATGGCTGTAGATGCTTTTTGTTGCATCTGAAAAAAAAAAAAGTTTTTCTTTTGCACTGTACTGCACTGTAACTTTTAACTTTTATCCATGTATTTTTTCTTTTAATGTTTATTTTATTATCTTTTCTTTTTAATGACTGATTTTAAATGCCATTTTTAATGTCTTCCATTTTTGTAAAGCACTTTGAATTGCCTTGTGTTGAACGGTGCTATATAAATAAACTTGCCTTGCCTTGCCTTGCCTTTTGAATGAGCAAATTAACAAGTCAAACTTAAAGAATGAAGCTCCTGAAGCATCTCTCCTCGCTTCACATCCTGTTGAGGCCCAGAGCCGGGTCTGTTCTGAGTAAAGGAATTGATAGTGGTCAAAGGGTGGAGAGATGGCCCACCACAACGCATGACTCTCAGTGTAGCTGTTGCATGTGGCTTTGCCTCTTGTTCTGACGCAGAAGGTCTTTACAAAGGGGTGTGAGATCTGAAAGATAGAGTGCTTTTTCTTTTTAAGTAGTACATTACACAATTAGACCGTAGTTGTGTATATGTTATATATGGTATATATGTTGTGTCCTTGGGCAAGACACTTTACCCGCATTTGCTCCTGTGGGTAATGTCCACAGTAATGACTCTTACATATCTAATATGTGTAATGTGTAATTGTAAAGCGCTTTGAGCACCTGTAAAAGCGCTCTAATAAAAAATGTAATGCATTATTATTATGTTGTGACAATAAATCTTGGAATCTTGAATCTAGTTGTCCTCTGAGTTTTTCATTACAACATTTTAAATATTTATTTTAACAAAGAAAGATTGTTAACATAAAATATTGTCATGTTTCTATGAACAGAAGTGAGGTTGTGGTGGACAGATACACAAATTTGCACTCTGTCTTTCTTCTCACTTTGTGTCTCAAAGTGCACATGGCAACAATGTAAGATAAGATATGAGATGTATAACATGCATGATACTAACTCTTTCTCAGTGGACATTGAAACAAAGGTGTAACTATTCATTGGTTTATTACAATTATGTATGGCATGGCCTCCACCTTGAAGAAACAAAATATATCATGTTCTCAAGTTAAATGTAAATATACTAAAAGTCTCTTTATTGTTTAGTTTAATAAAATGGCAATGCTCAACCTTTTAGTGAGATCCCTCTTTTTCACACACATATTTAGATTTCTTTGCTTTATGTGTAGTTTGGTCACATTTCCTCTCACCGCTAAAAGGGTTCTCACCTGATCTCTTTGGCTGTGGTTGAAGATGGGCGACGTTTTTAATGTCCAGTTTTGAAGACAGAAGGCAAAATGTACTTTTGGAAACAGTCTCTTGAACATATGTCCCAACCCGTCTTTACCATTATTCTTGGAAAGAGCAACAGTAACTGAACAATTTAAAGACTCATGGTTCACAGCAACAAAAGGGAAAACTCTGTATCTTGTTAACATCATAAAGGGGACGAGGCATCATTACAACATTACACTACCACTATTAACCATCGACCTGTGGAATAGCATGATGCAAAGTGAAAATGTGTCTCTTCTGTGTATGTGTTTTTTTTGTGATATGTTGGTCTAACATGATATACAAACAAAATGGTCAAAATCATTATATCGCTCCACATTACATCCATTAAATATAATAATACAATGTCTCAATACACGGTTTTGATGTTAATAAAGGAAAAGAAAAAACTTAGAGCCATGCACGTGGTCTGCCTTTCAGCCAATCACAATGACTTCTACTTTGTTAACCCTGATGACTTGATAAATGTTCCATTTAGGTGCGCAGACATCAGTAGAGCAAGGGAAGGGCTCTGTGGCACAATGATGGGAAGACTGGCTGCTCTGTTTCTTCTTAGTACATTGTGTGAGTGCAACTTTACTTACTACTGAAAAACGAGTACTACTATTAACTGTATGTCGTTAGGTTTAGATCAACTGTTAGTATTATTGTCCTATGTTATCAATTTTTCATGTTTTTTGTCCTGTTGTCTCTTTTTTTCAGCCCTGATTCAAACTGCAGAGGATTCTCACCAGATCTCTTTGACTGTGGTGGAACTTGGCGATAATTTGGGTTTGGCATGTTCAACTGTTAAAAATGAAGCCGGGTTATTTTACTGGTATAAGCTGAAGTTTGGATATATGATCGAAACAGTTGCAGCAGGAACTTTGGCGAACATAGCACTTCAAGGAGAATTTAAAAACTCAAGACTAGCTGTTAAAAAACTGAATGCTCAGTTTGTTCTGAACATCAGAAATGTAACTAAAGAAGATGAAGCAACGTACTTCTGTCAAGCAGGAACAGCATACACCATGGAATTGGTTAATAGCACACTTTTAGTTGTGAATGGTAAAGTATATTCATTTCAATGACTTAATTTGTTACATTGTAAAATCCTTAAAATCAGTTACTTTATTCTTATTTTTTGTCCATCACACAGATCATAAAAACCTGAAGAAATCTATCTACGTGAAACAAAGTCCGGAGACCAAGTCAGTCCAGCCCGGCGACTCAGTGACTCTCCAGTGTTCACTCCTCTCCAAAAACAACGAAAGCGCAGATCAGTGTCCAGGTGAACACAATGTGTACTGGTTCAGATCTGGATCAGGAGAATCCCATCCAAGCATCATTTACACTCACAGTGAGGAACAAAAGGAACGCAGTTGTGTCTTCAGTCTGTCCAAAACAATACACAACTCCTCTGATACCGGGACGTATTACTGTGCTGTGGCTACATGTGGACAGATCCTGTTTGGAGAAGGAACTACAGTGGAGACAAGTACGTTTTGAAGTGTGGTTTCAATTATATTTATATGTTAATGTATATTAATATTAAGTCTAAACATTTGTTTGTTCAGGGGGGTGACCAAGAGTTGGAGCTACAACTACATTTAACAATTATTTAGTTGAGACATTGATTCTAACTCCTTTCAACGTATAATGTAAACATATTGAAAGTTATTCATTTATAATAACTACTTCAGAATTTTTTATTTCCTGCCTGTTACTGTGGCTAACTACTGTGCTGTGGTCACATGTGGAGAAATATTAATTGAAGATGAAACAAAAATGAACATAGAAGGTGAAAGTATCGTTATCTGTTTTAACCAGTTTTCTACCTTTTATGGCTGCTTTTGAGGTCAGGAAAAAATAATTGAAGAGTGTAATGTTCAGTATATTCCCTATTGGCTTTATTAGATACAAGACGTTTGTCAATTTACCATCCCATCTTATACAATTATTATAGACGTCCTAGTCAATATTTGGTTGTTAATTGATTATAGGAAGGAAATGAACATGTGCAGGTTCAAATATCGATTGCTTTATATCATAGGTTAGGTTATGATCAATCCAAGTGGTTTAACGCACGTTTGTTTAAGTGTTTGATAGGGACGTTTGCATATAACGTGTTGATTAGACGTCAAATTAAAATTTAAATTTAAATCAAATCTAGAGCGATTGTAAGGAAAATAATGACAGTAAATTAAAATCTTCTTTGGTGTAGGTACATTTTCTTTTACTCTAACTAAATGTTACTGCATTTTCCTTTTCATGTTTCAGGAACCGGCTTACGGTCTTTTGGTGATTTACAGACTGACGATGTATTTCTGCTTCTGCCGTCTGTGGTCTCGGCTATTAGTGTGATTGTTATAGCCATCCTTATTCACGCCATCAAGAAAAACAAGTGTAATTATTGCCATAATAAAGGTAAAATAAGTTACCTCACTGAATAACAGATTATTTAGATGATGCTAATATCATTGTTTTTACAAACTAGGTCATTCTTATCTGTTTTTATCTTGTTTACATATTGTAGGTGCTGTTTACCTGCAAGAAAATGTTGCAAAAAGGAATGTGAAGGTAAGATCAACATTACAAAAGGCTTATGATGCAACTCGATCAGGTTTGTCATCACAAATAATTTGTAATATATTTCCTTAGAGAAATGAAGACCCGTGGATTTATTCTACTGCCGTCTTTACCGTGATGGAAACTGGCCCCGGGGTCTACACGGCTGCCAAGGCTTTTTGATCTGAGTCAAATGTGGAGTCAGCGATTCTCAAGAAAGATTGTTGATATTTGATCTTAAAACAAATACCCCCTTCGTATTTACCCTGCCTCTTGCTCCCACTGCCTTTCTCTTTACACATCCATGGCCCTCCTTTCCCCTGTCCTCTGCACAGACATAAACGCCCTGATGCTGATTGGCTGGATCATAACCAGCTCTCCTTTTAGCATAGACACATAATGCAGTCAGCTAGCGGAGTGTAAGTAGATATTTGTTAGTAGTATATTGGATTTAAATCTTAGACGGCACCTTTTAACTGGATTGGATTAGATGTCTTTGTATCAAATGTGATATAATGTTAATGTGTTTAAGTTTAAAGCTGTTATAACATGTTGGGATTAGCTTGCATTATTCATACAATGTTTGTTTGATCTTTTTTTTTCTTATGCTTAAGTGATATTGAATGAATTTTATATTAAAAAAATGCATTTTGTTCCATTTTGGTATGTTGAACTTTTTTGTCAAACCCACAGATATTAGTGAATGCCTGTCAAACATCTATGCTGTCGTCACACTGATTCTATGCCGCCATACACCCTTTGTCTTTATCAACTTGGTAGAACAAAGCAGGAAGAGTCTATTTCCTCTATATATCATCTATTTTCTGCTCATCTCCGTACCATACACCAGGGGGCATTAAAAGGTCTTGTTTTTTTTTCTTTTAAAGCAAATTTAGCTTCATTACTGTATTTTTGGTGAAAACCAGTCATTTGGATTGTTTTCTGTTTTCATGTTTCTTCTTCTTCTGCTATTAGAAAACTAGTACAATTACAGCAAACATATTTATTTTTCTTAAAATATGTGTGCCATATAACCAAAAGTACATACAACAATCATTTTTTGAAAATGATATATAGTTCATGCAAAGTTCAACCCGTTGTATCCGTCAAAGTACTAAAAATAACCAGCCATTTTAGTCATTAAATCAATATTAGCAAACCTTTTTACTTTAATATATTCTACACAGTAATGTTCCAAACTTCTCTGTTTCCGAGTCACTGCATTTGCTGCTGGGTGATGATTATTCAGGGGACTCATGTTCAATCATTTGCATCCACAAGAACAATGCAGAGTAATACAATGAATAACTTATTTTAGATGCAGCATTGTTTTTTGATGAACATTGATTACCCACATATTCTCTCCGGGTGTTTTAAAAGTTTATTGATTTCAACTTGTGCCATTCTCAGTCGCCTCCTCATGCCTCTGCAACAAGCAGTGGTCTTTCGTGCTTTTCACATCAACAACTAGCTTTTTAAAAGCAAAATATAAAGCAAAGTAATTAACAGCACAACATTTGTTAAAACCATGCAAAGCTGAGCTAAGCCAAAGCTCATACGGGCGCGTGGTGCTGTGTGTGGTTTGCTCTCACAGCGGAGTACACACACTCCTGTGGTAACTCTTGCTTTTGCTTCACTTTTTTCACTTTTCTTGTGGAGTAATTCAGTGCTGCATAGTTTACCGCCTCTTCGCCTCCATCCTGCAAGTCATATAGTCTAGTAAACATACATTCCTTAAATATTAGGCCTGTAAAATGAAAAACACTTCATCCAAACCAAGTCTAGTGTTTTGAATGTTTTAGCCTAAAGTCAGACAAATGTACAAGGATGCTTTTTGCCTCCATATTCGGTGCATAGTTTCATAAACATATTTACCGGGTCAGTCGATTCATCCACTGTCGCCTCGTTGGTTCTAGGATTACAGATGGTACACGTTGCTACTGCAGAAAAAGTTAAATAATGTTAGATGGGGTTCAATTGTTCAATTTTCCGCTGAATTTTTAAGTAGAGTCCGGAGTTTTACCCTTTTGTGTGACTTGTACTTTTGAATTCAGTTTAGAAATATAATTACATGAAACTGTAGTTATACATTCACAGAATATTTTGAGTACATGTATGGTGACATCATACATGACATGTCTGCATAGAGATTATTATTTTAGAGTTAATCATTTAAGTTACATTTCCCCTTTTGACAGATGAAGACATTTGAAAGGATGTTGAGAAAACCCAGGACTCAAACTCGCAACCATTTCACAGAAAGCTCAAAATGCATATCCTTTGGGTTAAAATGATTAATTAATATGTATACTTGCTTGATGAGGATTGAAAAGAGGGAAGCTTGTGAAGAAAATAATTCAACAATTAATATAAAAAGGCCTCTGTTGGAGACACAAAGTGTATGAATGTTATGTGCTTGGGTTTAAGCCCAATGTGATGTTGGGCCTGTTATTACTGGGTAAAATTAACCGAAGTTACAATAAAAGTACATTTCTGCAATTTAAAATATGAGCATAAATCAATGCCTAAGACATTGTTCTGTATTTTAGGAACCTACCTTTGCAGTGTCGACAAACTCCTCGATTTACGTAGAAAGTAAGGATGACGATTAAAGTCAAAGAGAAGGCCAACAGTGCTCCAAGTACGAGGACAACTGCGTCCAGTTTTGATCCTGGAATTAGAAAAATAGACACTAAACCCCTCATTCCAATTTTAAGAGATTTACATTTCTGTCAATATTGTCTGTTAAAAATATTGTCATATTTGGAGAATGTATTTGGCTTTGTCGATCAATCATTACTTTACATTAAGGTCAAAAAGAGCCTTCTGTTTAAGGACATGTTTTTTTTATTGCACCAACTTTTTCAAGTGCATGACAAAACAGTATATTTACCTGGACTAAGATTTAAAATATCAAAGAGCTGTGAATCTGTTTGACTGAAAGATGCAACTTGACTTATGCAGATAGATATTTAGAAAAAAATATGTATCACTTTATCAATATTTATCCAATATATCTGAGTAGCATTAATGTTCAAAATGTACTAAAGATTTCAGAATTCAACTTCAAAACGTACTTGTCTCCACTGTAGTTCCTTCTCCAAACAGGATCTGTCCACATGTAGCCACAGCACAGTAATACGTCCCGGTATCAGAGGAGTTGTGTATAGTTTTGGACAGACTGAAGACACAACTGCGTTCCTTTTGTTCCTCACTGTGAGTGTAAATGATGCTTGGATGGGATTCTCCTGATCCAGTTCTGAACCAGTACACATTGTGTTCGCCTGGACACTGATCCACGTTTTCTTTGTCTTTGGAGAGGAGTGAACACTGGAGAGTCACTGAGTCACCAGGCTGGACTGACTTGGTCTTCGGACTTTGTTTCACGTAGATAGATTTCTTCAGGTTGTTATGATCTGTGTGATGGACAAACATTAAGAATAAAGTAACTGATTTTAAGGATTTTACAATGTAGCAAATTAAATAATTGAAATGAATATACTTTACCATTCACAACTAAAAGTGTGCCGTAAATAATTTCCATTTTGTATGCCGATCCTGCTTGACAGAAGTACATTGCTTCATCTTCTTTTGTTACATTTCTGATGTTTAAAATGTTCTGAGCATGCAGTTTTGTTATGTTGAATCTTGAGTTGTTAAATTGTCCTTGAAGTTGTATTTTGTCAAAAATTCCTGCCGCAACAGTTTGAAACATATATCCAAACTTCAGCTTATACCAGTAAACCATCCCCGCTTTATTTGTAAAGACTGAACATGTCAGAGTCAAATTACTACCAAGTTCCACCAGAGTCAAAGAGATCTGGTGAGGAACCTCTGCAGTTTGAATCAGGGCTGAAAAAAGAGACAATAGGACAAAAACAATGATTGATAAGATAAGACAATGAAAGTTGATAAGATAATACAGTAATACTAATAGTTAAACTTGTCTAAACTTTAATACGACCTTTAGAAAATAGTAGTACTCGTCTTTAGTAAGTAAAGTTGCACTCACACAATGTACTTAGAAGAAACAGAGCAGCCAGTCTTCCCATCATTGTGCCACAGAGCCCTTCCCTTGCACTGCTGATGTCTGCGCACCCAAATGGAACATTTACCCAAAAGTCATCAAGGTTAACAAAGTAGAAGTCATTGTGATTGGCTGAAAGGCAGACCACGACCCTCAATTTACCAAACCTTCGATCATGTCCCCTTTTCAATGAAATTGAAAAGCTGTCTGACCAAACACCATGTGACATTTTGTGACATACTGATACGCAGCAGACACACAAAAGACGACTAAACAACTGACAGACAAACTTCCTGTCACAACAGTGTACAGAATTTCCACTGCAATGGGAATTTACTTTTATTCTTGTCTGTGTCGAAAGCATTTTGCTATTGAAGCTCACTGTAAATGTGTGTGCATGGTCATTCATTTTGTCACTGACATGTCAGTACCTTTAGGACATGATTTAGGTCTGGTGCTGTGTTGGGCAGTAATGCATTACTTAGTAATAGAGCTATTTTTGTCTAAATGCATTTGTGTTGCAGAATGTTTGCCAAATAAGGAATGACTAAACATTTTGTACGCATAACTTTTATTTCTAGTCTCAAAGCATTTAGGCATTTTACTTCAAAGCAAAAGTAAATTCACATGTCACAGCTAAGTGAAAGAGAAAAAGCCATTTCCCTTCCTTTGACCGACCACTGAATCTGTTTCCTCTGAAGAGACCTGCCCTACAGGATATGTAATGAGGTTAGAGCTGCAAGAAGGGAAGTGTTTCACAAGGAAACATAAATCTAATTTTAGTTTAATCATTGTCACTCATAGTGTTCACTTTAACACAGTATTTGTTGGCTTTTTGTACTGTAAATCACATTACAAAGAAAAACGAAAGAGCCAACACACAGTGATTCTGAGTTGATACTGTTTAGGTCTGACTCATGAACATATGTGCCCAACGTTATTCACCTCTTCATGTGTTATTTGAGCTGTACAAAGTCAAACAGCACACAAACTTTAAAACAGCACTAAAGAAACCTTCACTGTCAATGCATGACTAAAATACTGTATTACTGAAAAGGTAAGTTTGTATAACCTCATGAAACTTTTAAGAATGACATTGAAGGAAATGTGACTTTGAAAGCATACCCTATGTTGGCAGCCCAACCACTGCCATGCCCACCTTTCCACTCGTCATTTGTTTGTCAAGTGGGTTTCTGTTCACCCACATTTACAGGAAAATAAAAGGCAACATTCAGATGTATGTTTAGCACGAATCTTTTTTACATTTTATTTAACAGAAATGTGTTTCCCCATGTTCACCTCCGGCATATTTCGTACAGTAGTTTGAAGTGCTCATATTCGATACATATCATATCTATCCAATGTCAGACATGTGTTTTTTTTGCTAACCCTACATTTCAAAGCTTTTGCAATAGTCTTATATTAAATAACATGTTGCCTTACAACATGAAGTCCAAAGTTTCATCATTCGTGGAGTTTTGACTTTCTCCTCCATTCAGAAAGCCTTTTTATCAGGTTAATGTTTTTTTCCCAAAAGGCACACGTTAAAGTTGTTTGGTGGCCCCGTCCATTGCTAAAAGGCATCGACACAAAGTAAATGTGAAAGACTATAAACAAAACACACAAGGGCCACTTAAAGGTGGGGTTATGTAATTAATTTCAGAAGCACTTTTTGTTATATTCCATGGAATGCTCTTAACATCCCGATAGCAATGAATATATTAAATGCTTTGACAATACATACATAAAAAAAATTCATCTGTGGAAGCCGTAGCGCTGTAAAAAGCACGACCAATCATTTTAGCCGGCCCGGCTAAAATAACTGGATGGCCTACCTGCCTGTCAGCCTTCCATCTGTGCACAAAATTATCTCGTGCCCTCATTGGTCATGTGCGCGTTCGTGTGTGTTGGAGGAGGGGCCCTGTAAGGAAGTCTGAAGGAAGAGGCAGATTTTTTCGGGTTGTTTACTTTCAAATTCTAGCGCACTCGAGCTGGTTTCTCCAAAATTACATACCCCACCTTTCAGTGTAGTAACTTCCTAAAACTAAATAATTTGAACCACAACAGCACTCAATGAATGTATAGGACCAGATATTGTCTCATGCAACTTGTAATGTATTTGACCTGCTCTTATCACGGAGTAAGAAACTACTCCCGTGCAGCAGTAGGGAAAGCAGCGGACAAAAGGTTTTTGGTCTATTGACTTAAACAATTGTCTGTGAATAAAAAGGAGAATAAAACCTCTTCTGTTATGACTTTGTCTGGGTTATTAACAGTATCAAAGGCCATTTAGAGCTTTAATTATATAGTATGTGTCTGTAATCAATGGAAATGTTGAATTTCAATGTTCTCGTAAGTGACTTAGTACTATGAACGAAGCGCAGAGCGGATTATCTCTTGCAATCGTTACTGAAAGTTACGTGGTTTAATATAAAATACAGCTAACGAGAAAGTCCAATAAGGGTGGGACGGTTGTTGGATCGCTCAAAATAAGCACAGGACTTTGACGTAGGAGACCTCTTTTTGTTTCCTAAGTGAAACCAAAACCCAACATTTACTTTACGCCTGTTACAAAAGGAAGTCCGTTACGGGCGGTTGCTATTGATTTATGCTAGTTGCTCTGAATTACGTTGTTTTGGCTGTTATGTTATAATGACACGTTATGATATTAACACAAATCTTTATCTTTATTCTAACCATAAATATATATCGATCATCAGTTAAAAGATAACTATCCTTCAACTGGATGACAGATTTGTTGCCTTGAGTCCCTCACCGCAGACTCGGATGAAGGACTAAATCCATGCATTGTTTATCTAAGGAGGCTAACCCGTAACTCACAGGCATACTGTGTATGTTGTAGTAGTTGAGTGAAGATACAGTTACTCAATATTAGGGGACACTATAAATATCAAGTTGTATCATGTCAACAAAAAAACAGAAGCAAACAGTTCCACAGACGTGTCGACCTAGATGACACATTACAGTAATGTTGGCACACTTCCTGTATCAACACATTCAGAAAGCAACACGAATCTCTGACTATAGAGAGGGGTGTGGCTGGTTGTAGTGATCTGATCTAACAACAGAGTACATACAATCTTTTGGCATTTCTCTCTCCTTTCTCCTTCCTCTTTTCACTTTCCTTGTTGAAAAATCCACTGATGCATAAGTCACTGCCTTCGCTTCTTCATCCTGCAAAATTAAAAACAAAATGTGCGTCAATGACAAACTTTTTGGCGATTAGGTGACTTTAACATATAGACCAAGTCTAGAGTATAGACTGCTTTCCAGTGATCTTTACAGACTTTCTTTTGTCTAATTTTCAGTCATCAGTAACTATATACATACCTTTAAACCTAACTTAATCACTCTTTATGAGACATACATAACATGCATTATGTTCTAGCTACTTAACAGTTGTTTTATTATACTGTTGTTGTATCAATTGATTATCATCTGTGTCTTGAACAAATAAAAAGTGTAAGAATGGCAGAATATTTATAACACACCACCACATATTTACCATGTCATTTGATTGACCCCCAGTTGACATGTCCGGTCTAAGATGATGATGGGAAGCACTCACTGCTCCTGTTTGAATGTAAAACAGGGTTTCAGAGTATACACACATGATTATTGTCACCCTCACATTGGAGGAAACTGAGGAATAAACACATTCACATTTTCAGTTGTTTCCTCTATAGTTATACACACTGACTTTTTGTAATGTGCTCAATTCACCGTCAGTGTTGTTGTGATTAATCTGATGAACTCCTTCAGAGCTTTAAGCAGTAACAGCCCCTACACACGGCGGCGTGCGTTGAAGCTTGCCGGCGGGTATGTCTGACGCTCGACCAACAACCAATCATGCTTTGCTCCCACAATGCAGTTCGGCGAAGCGTCACGTCACCCCATTCAAAGTGAATCGGCAGAAGCGTTGAAGCTTCAACGCACGCCGCCGTGTGTAGGGGCCGTAACGCAGCGTCCACACGGCGGCGTGCGTTGAAGCTTGCCGGTGAGCTTGTCTGAAACTCGACCAACAACCAATCACATGAATCTCCCGCCCCGGACCCACAAGCACGCGGTTTGATTGGCTAGAGCTTGTACTGGCATATGATTTGATTGGCTGACGCTTCTGCCGAAGCTTCAAAAGTTGAACATTGCTCAACTTTTGAAGCGAGCAACACGAGCAAAGCGAAGCAACGCTCCCACAATGCATTTCAGCAAAGCGTGACGTCACCCCATTCAAAGTGAATGGGCAGAAGCGTTGAAGCTTCAACGCACACCGCCGTGTGGACGGGCCGTAAGGGATAATGTTATTTGTTCGAGGCTACCTGGATAATGTGTACTTCTGGTCTCAGATGTTCAATAATTCCTGTTTCAATAGGATATTCTGTATTACACAAAATATAATATAATAATATATCCTTTTGCATTCAACACAATAGATTAAGTGACCTCAGGTTTACAATTATGTAACACTATGACACAAAAAACCAACAAACAGCTCTGGAGTTTATATTATTGAGTCAGTAGTAGTGGCCATGGTGGTTTTACACAAGTAAAGGTATTAGAACCGTCATCTCATTTATTGAATAGAAACACACATGTACACTATGTTGAGCCAAACATTTGATATTGATGGATTTTCCATAACTGAAACTAAAGTATGCTGAGCCTACCTTTGCAATTTTTGCAAGACTTCCTTCGGTATCCATAGGAAATAAGAAAGGCAATCACAGTCACACAGCAGGCCAACAGCACTCCAAGCACAAGGACAACTGGGTTCAGTTCTGTTTCTGAATCTCCTAAATAAGGAAACAAATGAAGTCTTACTTTTTAGACATACACCGCAACAAAATATCAGTATATTTTTAACTTGAAATCTGAGAAAAGTCATTCTTACGAAGGGATGAGTTTCAAAGGAGGTTCATTCATCAGTTATAATTCATGTCTCAATAAAATAATTGCTAAGTGTAGTTGTTGTTAATGACTTTATCCACTCTAACTTATCCACTTAATATTTATATACATATAAATACAAAATTCAAATGTAATTTAAATAGACTTTAAAACGTACTTGTCTCCACTGTAGTTCCTTCTCCAAACAGGATCTGTCCACATGTAGCCACAGCACAGTAATACGTCCCGGTATCAGAGGAGTTGTGTATAGTTTTGGACAGACTGAAGACACAACTGCGTTCCTTTTGTTCCTCACTGTGAGTGTAAATGATGCTTGGATGAGATTCTCCTGATCCAGATCTGAACCAGGAAACATTGTGTTCACCTGGACACTGATCTGCGCTTTCGTTGTTTTTGGAGATAAGTGAACACTCCAGAGTCACTGTGTCGCCGGGCTGGACTGACTTGGTCTTCGGACTTTGCTTCACGTAGACAGATTTCCGCTGATCTGCGTGATTCAGTAAAAGAAAACATAACATTTTATATCAATTATTTGTATGACATGAGGCTTGACACAAAAACTGAAAGTAATATATATTTACCTTTCACAGCCAAGAAGATGCCAATGCCAAAACTCTGTGAATACGTCGATCCAGTGAGACAAAAATATGTTGCTTCGTCCTCTTTTCTGACATTTCTGATTGTGAAAAGATAATGAGTATCCTCTTTTGTTGCTGTGAACCGTGTGTCTAAAAAAGGTTCAATAACTGTTAGTTTGCCAAGAATCACGTAAAAAACTGGCTGGGCCATTTGTCCAATAGACTGCTTGTACAAGGAATATAGTTTGCCTTCGATCTCCAAAACTGGACATTGAAAAGTAAAACTTCTACCAACTTCTACCACAGCCAAAGAGATCAGGTGAGGATCCTCTGCCGATTCAATCAGAGCTAAAGAAAAAAGACAAAGAAAAGGTTTATTGGAGGAGATCATCTTTAAGATCATCAAATGGTCTTTCATACAGGAGTAAAGAATTGCACTTACACGTCGTACAAAGAAGAATCAAAGCAGCCAGTTGAACGATCATTGTGGTGCAGCTCTGTCGTCTCGCACTACTGATGTCTTTCCATCCAAATGAAGGTTTGTTCACAAGAAGATCAACATCTACAAAGTAGCAATTGTAGTGATTGGCTATAAAATGACCTCCCCCCTACATTTAAAACCTGTGGACCATTTTCTTTCGATCAGAAATCTCTATGTTCTGAGATTTTCTTTTCTCAAAGAAGCCCCTTTATTTAGACAATAACATATTTGTTCAGTTTTGCGTGCTTAGCTAAGAAGTACAGGACCTATTTAAACAGCAAAACCCTATTGACACATTTTACGAATCTGTATTTAGTCATACCAGCATGAGAACCAAAAAATACACACACAGAGACGTTATTTCAGTGTCACTCTATTCAACAGACCAATGGCTGTGGTTAATAGTGTAACACACCAGGAAAGCAATGTGGGAACATGACGACTGCTAGCTAGCAAACACATCTGTTTTTATCAAGAACATTGCAGATTCCATATGGTCACAGAAAACTAATTCTGTAGCTTAATAAGATGTTTGGTTTACATACTGGATATACTTACTGAGCAACAGCAGTGAGTTGGATGGCTCCACACACCAAAGACATTGTTGGAGTTGCTGAATGCTGTATTGTTCACTATTGTGGGCTAGCTGTTTTGTTCCATAACATTACAATAGCCACAGTGTAGGTGGTAGAAAGCTGTAGGGGAGAGGTGAGAGGAAATATCACCAAAACCAAGAGATGTGAATAACTTACAGGTTAAAGTATGTGTTGAGATAGTGCTCTCTCTAAGGTAGAGCATTGTCATTTTCTCAAGTTGAACAATATTGTAGAGTATCCCGGATTTTTTGTTTTTAAACACCAACAACTCCCTTGCTTTATTGGCAGTGAACTCCAAAGCATGCCTTCATGTATTTTAGAGTACTCAACGTTTCTCCTTTTTTGCCCTTATATGATTTTGTGCATCCTGTATTTCTGTAAACTTTATAGTCCTACAATCAGTCTTGACCATTTGTGATTCTCTATCATACCAAATGTGTCAGGTTTTAACCCTAACAATGACTTTTTCAATCCATTATAGCAGGATAAGCACAAGTAAAACCAGTAACATAAGGGACTAGGCCATGCCATTTTTTATTGCAAATAACCATGTTATCGTTACACCTGTGGACAATTTCCACTGAGAAAGAAGTGGTGTATAATATTTTACACAGCATACATACAACAGACCGAAGCATGGCTGACAAAACACATGGGAATATTTTGTGATTCACACACAATTGATATTTATTTGCAAAAGACAATGTTTGTTGTTCTAAATACAAAATAGAAAGCCAGAAGTCAACTACTTAATAGAATTGAGCACTCCACCTTTCAGATCTCACATCCCTTTGTAAAGACCTTGTGCTTCAGAACAAGAAGCAAAGCCACATGCAACAGCTACACTGAGAGTCATGCGTTGTGGTTGGCCATCTCTCCACCCTTTGACCAAGCATCAAGGCTGTTACTCAGAACTATGGGCTTCAACAGGATGTGAAGTGAAGTGAGAGCTACATGACACTTCAGCATGCTTCATCATTGTTTTAGTTTTACACATGCTCATTTAAAGTAAAAACATGTCTATCTCAAGATTATTTCAAAAATGCAAAGGCATCTATCTAATCTACAATCTAACTGTATTTATTAATTAAACATTCAATTAGACAGGCTGCAATTATATCACCATGTTAGATCACGGTTAAAATTCCTTCTTTGACTGAAAGACGGGGGTTGGACCAGGAAATGATGGGCACCTCCCCTGACTAACTGCAACTACAGATAAAAGGCAATAACTTGCAGTAAGGTTAAATGAAAAAGGATCATCACATACTAGTGGTATTCCACTTGCCATTTGAAACAAAAATAAGTAAATCAGCAGTGCAAGCCCAGCTTCCTGAGGTTTATAGAATGAGAAAGGTACAAGTGCCCCTTTGTATTCACACCTCAGTGTGAAGCCCAACCACAGCCGCGCTGAAGTTTCCATGCGTCATCTGGTTGTCAGTGTGAATGCATTTATATCTGACTGTTTGTGTGAAAGTACAAGGCATGTTATGGCTTGTTGTCAACTGTTGACCCTGAAGAAAGCCACAAACCACAACCTGCAGCTCTGACAAATGTTGACCATACTGTATAGATAGATAAGCTATTTACATTTCTAATTATATTCTCTATACACCTTTTGAGTTGTCAAGAAACCCTAAATCTTTATTTTTTGTAAAAATGATGTGTGGGGAGTTTTACTGAACTGCATTATCTTGATAGGTGTTCCTTTAATAAGTGTCAGTAGTGTAAGAGTGCACAGACACTATAGCGGTACAGGATTGTTTTATGTTAAGCACCTTGTAAATAGTCGGTTTAATTTATCTGTTTTGTTTCCTTGGTTTACATTGGTCTTCTCTTCCCGGGGAAAAAATATACAGGAGAGAAACTGTAAATCGTCTCAGGACAAATGTGTTCCTTTGATACTCTGAGAGTGTCGCTCTGCTTCTTGCTCTCTAAAGCTCTCTGAAATGAAGTGTATTGTAGAGGACGGATGTTTTAACAGCCCAACTCTGTGCTGTGCTCTTCCTGCTGAAGTGACTGACAGGCAGAGGGGGTGTTCATCATTTATGACGTGGAGCATCCAATTGGCTGGTTTGCAAAGTATTTAAGATGGTTCCTCTGTCCTTCTCAATGTGGCAAATGGCAGCTTATATTTTCTATGTCTACACAAATCAAAAAGATAAATGCAAGTTTAAATAAATGGCAACAACAATGTGGTAGGATAAGTCCTAGAGACACAGGCCTATACATTTTTGGATGCATTACAAATTATGCATTTATATTGAAATGTTAATGGTATTAGTACCTTTTTTTATAATGAATATTCAGCTATTCTAAAAAAAATTATCTTTTTGATTAATCATTGTACTATCACTAAAATATGGCAGTTACTGTAGCAAATGAGAAATTAGGTTTTGATCCCTTCCAAGAATCCCTTTCAGGAATCCAGACAAACTTTAAACATTTTTGCTACGTCCTTGGAATCTAATCTAATCCCAATTCTGAAAGTGTAAGAGTTAATCATTTGTTACAGAGCGCAGGATCACAGGAAGTTTCAGTTTAAATTCCTTTAGTGTGTATGCTTACACATTTATCAAATAAGTGGCAGTTCTTAAACTGGTCTACTTTGGATACATTCATCATGGGCTTTTCCGCATTGTTTCACTAATCCACATTTGTTACAGGAGCAACCATTACAAACGGGAGGGATCAAGTTTAAAATACCTAGGCATATTATATCAGGAAACTTATTTAAAAAATGTTACATTATACAGTAGGAGATGTAGGAGTGTTTTTCAAAGTTGCTTAAACTTTGAACATTCTTTTTAAAAATCCGTAACTCCCCAAACTGTTTGGTACTATAATACAAAATAATGGAGCAACCTTTACCTGTAAATGTATCTTCCTTTATTAGCCAGCATACAAAACATTGCTTCCACATTTCTGTGACCAGGAAATTGGCTTTAAGCGTGTTCATTTTAGCAATGAATCATGTCAAAACCTAACTGCTGGTGCTGTAATGTGTAATGGGGATTGCCCACAGTATTGAGTGTATGTAAGTCGCTTTGGGTAAACGCGTGACATGGAATAATGTAATGTAATGAACCAGAAAACGCTGATCATATTTTAAACAGCTTTCTTTTTTACAATTGGCGGAAGTATGCACATATTATTATAATTATGTTAAAGGTGGGCAATGTAATTTCGGAGAAACCAGCTCGAGTGCGCTAGAATTTGGAAATACACAACCGGAGAAAATCTGCCACTTCCTTATAGAGCCCCTCCTCCAACACACACGAACGCGCACATGACCAATGAGGGCACGAGATAAGTTTGTGCACAGATGGAAGGCTGACAGGCAGGTAGGCCATCCAGTTATTTTAGCCGGGCCGGCTAAAATGATTGGTCGTGCTTTTTACAGTACTACGGCTTCCACAGATGACATTTTTTTATGGATTTTTTGTCAAAGCACTTCATAAAAGATATTCATTGCTATCAGGATGTTAAGAGCATTCCATGGAATATAACAAAAAGTGTATCTCGAGCCGGTTTCTCAAACTTACCTACCCCACCTTTAATGTTGTTCTCTTCTTAAGTTAATCCTGGTAACACAATTGCTCGATGGTCAAAAGTAAACACTATGGTATAGGTCAAACACATTTAATCGGCTTCAAAAGGTATTTGTTTGCTTGGCTCCTCAGACAGCCTAAGCTTTCCACTTGTGTATATCATACTGGACAGTGGCAATATTGCACCACATCAAAAAAGTCCATCTGGACATGAAAAGAAAATCAAGATTGTTTTCGATTCATATGCTGTGTGTGTTTACGCTCTGTGCAGTTAAAGGAAAACAAACATGAAACATAAAAACAGAAGCCTGCTTTTGGTCTTGTTTCATGTGTTTAGGTTGGAACAAAGGTTGATATTCTTTCCACTGTGGTGGTACAATGACATAAGGAAAGGCCAATCAGGGTACTCTAAAATTGTAACCTCCCACTTCATATGATTACATTAAGGCGAATCTACTCGAATACGATTTAATTTACCGGCAGCCATAAGTGGATTGACCAGAAAATGCTGATCATAGTGTATTTACTGCTGATGCTTGGAGTGGGGGGTAAGTATCTAGACTTGAGATATAGTATATTAATTGTCATGTTCTGATAATGATTCAGCTGTGTGCTAATTATTCTTAATGTATCACAAATCAATCAGTGTGTTTATTATATTTTTCAGGATGCACACCTGATCAGATTTTGGAGACAAACACTGTTAGTCTTGGGGATGATGTGACTTTGACTTGTTCACACCAGAAATTCTTGAAAACACGCTGGTTCTGGATCAGGCATGGACCTGGAAACTTCCCTGAAGTCTTGGGAGGAACATATTCTTTTGATTATAATGGTGTTGACAAGACTCCTCGCATTACAGCAAAACAAGGGCCTGGAACCTTTCTCCTGCAAATAAGTAAAACAGAGCAAAGCGATACTGGAGTTTACTACTGCATAAAAGTAAACAAACTTGACATAACATTTTTGAATGTGACATTTCTGAGAGTTAAAGGTAAATCATTTATACTGTTTATCTTTGTTATTACTCTCTGCTACATAACATAATTGTATTTTACTACTTTCTTAATGTGTTATGTACTAAACCCCTTTTGTTTGATATGACAGCTTACTATTTTTGTCTTTTATCTTTACTGAACCTTTGCGGGGTAACATTATAAATTACCTCATGCGTGAATGATTTCTGATTTCTGAAATGAAATACAGCAAACATAGATTTCACCTTTCTTTAAAAACGTATACTTTATATATTTATATTTCCAGGCCCTGAACCAGATATCACTGCCATTATTCAAGGCCATCAGTCTGATCCGGTCCTTCCAGGAGACTCGGTGACTCTGCAGTGTACAGTCCTCTCTGAATCTCAGAGCAAAACCTGTCCAGGAGAAACCAGAGTGTACTGGTTCAGAGCCGGATCAGATGAATCTCATCCCAGTGTCATTTACAGCCATAGAAACAGCGGAGATGATTGTGAGAATAGTCCTGAGGCTAGCTCTCCATGGAAATGTATCTACAACTTCTCTAAAAACATCAGCTCCTCTGATGCTGGGACTTATTACTGTGCTGTGGCCACAAGTGGGGAGATATTATTTGGAAATGGAACAAAACTGGACATTGAAGGTAACTGCTGAGCGTTTACACATCTTTAATAATCATTCATTTTTTATCTGGTAGATACCCTTATAAACCAAAATCCAATTTACATGCATCTAAAATGTTAGATTTTTCACATTTGCTCCCTTTCTCCATGATTTTAGCACCTAAGATGGGGGATCAGCAGAAGGCCATCGTAGTTCTGCTTCTGTTAGCTGCTGCTTTGGCTATAAGTCTGATTGTTATCGCCTTTCTGATTTATACTATCAAGATGAAAACTTGTGATAGTTGCAACGGTAAATAATGTTTCTCATACCTCAATCAATCAGACAGTTATTGGGAAAAGCTCACTTTTTAACTTTAGATTTACATTACAAATTTGTATAATTGTACCTACATCATATGTCATCAAATGTATTTTATTTCATAATACAGCTTCTGTTTCTCTGCAAACAAATCCTGTACCAGCCAGCGGTGATCAGCAGAGGCAGCAGGTACGGTCAAAAAGAGAAGATGTGACTGAAAAAATTAATTGACTCATTTTATTTTCTCCATGTAAATCATAACTTTTGCCATCTCAAACATTTTTCCATATATTTTTGCAGATAGATGAGGACTCAATAACTTATTCTGCACCAACCTTCACCAAGAGGAAAACTGGCAGAGCAGACAGGAAGAATAAAAAATCAGCAGAGGGAGAGACGATCTACACCAATGTCATGTATTCAGTGATGGACTAACAATATACTGGACTTTCTGATTAAAGCTTACTGTTGGGGAAATATGTTCCTAGGCCCATACCTTTGACCCAGTCAGTTTGTACTGCCCTCACTGAGCACAGGCCTGCAACCTTGGGCTGCTGTGATCTCAGTGTTTTTGTCTCCCTATTCCTGCCTGTTGGCGTCAGCTGATAGAGGTGTTTTAGTGCTTTGCCTGTTTTATCTTATTATGCACAATATTGATTATTCTCTCAGAACCAGCTAAATACATGGGTCTGGGGTAGAGATCTTCAGAGTTGGTTTGGCAACCGCTGTGTCACCTCGTGGCGGCAGCACATGTCTTGACAGTTCTCCGGCCGTAACTCCAAAATAAACCATCAGTGTTTGCCATCAAAGTTCCAGCTCACCCAGTGTCTCTCTGAGTTTCGTCTCCATTGCTTCAGAAGTTTCCATCACACTTACAATGTTGTAAATATGCTGCTTCACTTTCAGAAATTGGAGAAATGTTATAACCTGGAAACAAAAAATATATATCATTTTGAAATGATGTCCAATCTGCTTAAAATCATTGTATAACCTTTTTTTTTATAAATAAAAGTACATTGGTTACATGACGCAAATTGTTATAGCTTTAATGGTGATATTCTACACCTAAATATGTGGGTAACTGTTGGATTAGATTTTGCGCAAACTATGAGGCATAAATATGGTAAAGCTATTCGCAAATCATTCCTAAAATACACAACATGTCACACCTGACCTGACTATTGGGTTCAAAACTATATGTAGTGAGGGGGAAGTTGAAAGAAACTGCTAATTAGTTTTCAATGTGCTCAGTAAAAGTACCAAGAGAAAGAGGCTACCATCTACTCTTATGCGTCTGAGTACTCTGCTATAAGTGCTGCATTAATTGCGCAGTGGAGCAGATTGTTGTAAAGCTGTCAGACAGATTTTTGTTGATTATCCGGCAAACTTAAGTCGGTCAAAAAGACGCTCATGTCATGACTTTACCCTTTACTGAAATGTTTTATTATTCCACTTTCACTTTTAAAATCAGCAGTGCATGCCGAGTTTCCTGAGGCTAAAACAGAGAGTGAGAAAGGCAGAAGCCCCTCTCTGTTGACACCTCAGTTTGAAGCCAAACCACAACAGTCCCTAAGTTTCCATGCATCATTTGTCTGTCAGTAGAGACTGTGAATGCATGTCAATCTGTTTATGTCAGCTTGCCAAATGCAGGCAGTGCTGTGCACACAAAGAAAAATGTAGATGGTACAAAGCATATGATTTCACTTGTTAGAAGCAACATCATTGCTCTGTAAAATTAGAATACTTCAAAAAAGGCTGAGGATCCCAAGTTAAGGTATGCTTTGATGCTTGTTGTTGTTGTTTGAGGCCTACAATGCTCCAGATATGGCAATGACAAACTTAAATCCCAAGCTCCTCCAACAATGCAACATAATATATATATATATATATATATATATATATATATATATATATAGGACATCAAACGATAAAAACAAATGAAGTGCAAGAAGAAACATTAGAATAGTGCAGATTATGTTGCAAGACCAATGGGCAAGTAATGCTTTTGACGTAAACTATAAACATGTCAGAAATAAATAAAACAATAAACTAGTGCAAAGAATGTTGTAAGTGACCAAGTAAATGCAGGAGTGTATAAACATGTACAATTAAGTAGTGAAAAAATAAAATACTGTTTATTGTGATTAACATTAAGATAAATCAATTGTAAGATGCAGAGAGAAGAATGCTTTAGGTTATGGAGGCACTTAACAGAGCTCAGGCATTAAGCAGTCTTATGGCCTGTGGGTATTAGACCTGATGCTGCGTCACCGCCTGTCAGACGGCAGCAGACAGAACAGTTTGTGGCTGGGATGATGGGGGTCTCAGTTTTAGTAATATTTCTAATGCCAGAGTTTGACTGCAATCGGTGTTCCTGTTATTCATTAAAAAACACTTAAGGATCTTTAATAAAGTGGTGCGCTGTTCTTGCCTTTCTCTCCACTATGTATAAAGGTGATACAATGTGGTAAGAGCTCTCCACTGTCTGCTATGTTTGCAACAGGTGACTGACAGGCAGAGTGGGCAGGTTATCACTAGGAGTCCATTATATTCTGCATAAGACAGCTTCTCCATTTTTGTGTAATAGTGTAACAAATACTTTCCAAATGTAGATTAATCAAACTGATCAATTTAAGTCCTATTGTTATGATTCATATTTTTAAATGAACTGCGTATCTGAGGACTATGTGCCTTTCAGTCAACCTGTTTATTATGCACATCTTTTGATTTGTGTGTGGAAACATTTGCAAAATCTTAAAATATCGCATTAAAAAATGTTACAGCCCATGAATCATAAACATATTACTGCTTGCTATCTAGTTGAGGATTTCTGGTGATAAGGCCACGCAACAAATAAAAACTAAATATATGGAACAGAAAATGTATTGTGTGATATTGTCTCTTTGGTTTTTCTGTTTGTTTATAAAAGTATTTCACAATAACATCAGATCATTTACTGTTTTAACTCTGTGTCAGCAATAGAAACCCAACATGAAAAGTGGGCTGTTGGTTTTGTTTCATGTGTTTAGGCTGCACAAGGCAGTTGATGGTTCATTATATTTCCGCTGTGGTGCTAAAAGGCGACTTAGGAGGCCAATGAGATTGCTCTGAAACTGTTACCTCCCACTTGATATGATGACATTATAGTGAATCTTTTTTAATGCGTGTCAAAATTGCGCCAGTCTCAAGTGGAATAAACAGAAAATGAGGATCGTATTTTATTTACTGCTGATGCTGGCAGTGGGACGTAAGTACATGTAAAATGTCCTATTGATTTTCAGATGTGTGTGTTCATGTTTACAATAATTGAGAGAGCACATTTTTTCTCTGTGGTTAATTTAAAATGTATTTTCAGGATGCACAAAAAAACCAAACTTTGAGACAAAGACTGTTGGTGTTGGAGTTTCTGTGGAGCTGACATGTCCCCGCAAGTCTTCGGGAAGCTTGTTTTGGATCAGGATTGATTCTGGAGACTTTCATGAAGTTTTAGGAAAGACATTTAGCCTTAAGAGTAATGATCGCATCACTGCTACAGAAGAGCGTGAACTATTTGTTCTACATATTCAAGAAGCAAAGCTAAGTGATGCTGCGGTCTACTACTGTATTCAAATAAGCAAACAGAACATCATATTCCTGACACAAACTGACCTAAGAGTTAAAGGTAAATACACTTCTTATTTCATTACAGCCAGTTAGTTAGTAACGCATTACAATTCCTGTTTCATGTACTTTAGTTTATTTTTCCATATAAACAACTAGAATGTAACGTTTTATTGTCAGTGTCATTTTTACTCTTAAGTAGATTTGCAAAGAAATGTATGCACTTCTATTCTGCAACATTGGGGGACACATTTTGAACTACTGTTACTTATTTAACTATAATTAATCTTTATGTGAACTTGAGCTCAAATTGACAACACTGATTGAATGACAGCAAGAAATAAGAGAGCCAGTGAAACAATAAATTGCAACTAAGGAAGTATCTTTAATGAGATACTTGTAATCTCACTCAAGGAATTTGTATTTGAGTCAGTATAAATATGAAGTAATAATACATATACTTGATTGCCAATTTATTTACCTAATACTGATTGCAGCTTTGTTTTAAAAGTCATGATCGTATTTCTATCTAACTGAAACTACATTTCCCAGAACCTGAAAGCACTGCAGTTTCTCCAACTGATCCAGTCCGTCCTGGAGACTCTGTGACTCTGCAGTGTTCAATACTGTCCGACTCCGGGAACAAAACACGACCAGAAGAACAACATTTGTGCTGTTTCAAGGCTTTTAATCAAAGTTTGAATAATACTGGAGGAAACGTTGTTGAAGTACATGAAAAGGAACCAGGTGGACCCTCAAAAAAGAAATGTGTCTACAGCTTCTACAAGACATGTCACTGCGATGTGGCCACATGTGAGGACATCATTTCTGGAAATAGATCAGAACTCAACACTACAGGTAACTGCATCATATTTAACTTGAATTAGTAATGTAGCATATGAGATTGATTAAGGTCAAGTAATGGTCCATAACATAATCACTTAGAAATTGCTCTTAATTTCACAAATGTTAATGTTCATTATCTGCTTTTATCCCCACATTGTGTCAGCAGACTTCATGTTGAATCAGCAGAAGAACAATACCATCATCTCTCTGTTAGGTGTTGCTTTGGCTATATGTGTGATTGTTAATGCCTTTCTCATTTATGCAATCAAGAAACTGAAGGGGAAATCCTGTGGTGTTTGCAACAGTAAGTACATTCACTGATACAAATATATCAAACATATTTGGCAAAAATAGCTTCACATGAATCTTTTATTTTTATATAATACAGCTGCTGTTACTCTGCATACAAATGAAACAACAGCCGGTAAAAATCAGCGAGGGTCAGCAGGTAGGGTAAAAGACAAGCCTGTAAAGTTGTTAGCATAGTTTTTCCTCTAAAAATGTTGTCTCATAACATTTCTCTCTATATTTTCACAGACAGATGATGACTCGTTGATTTATTCTGCACCAACCTTCATCAGAAGGAAATCTAGCAAAGGGACTGGGGGTGCAAAAGCAATGAAAGAAGAGTGTATCTACACTGATGCCCGGGCTCTTAGGTTGGCTTGATGGTGTAATACTGGATTTGCTAATCTTTGCAGATGCAATATTTATTTTCATTCTGTTCAAGAAAGGTACTAGCCCCTAATGTCATTAATCCAATTAATATATTGGATTGTATTGTGTGTATATATTTTGCACACATAAGTAATCTTCATGACACAAAAGTAATATAAAAGCTACTGTAAGCTTGTGTAGATAGACATACTGTATACTGTAGGGATACATATTTGTTTCATTGTGAGTTATCAAAGTTGTGAACAACAACTTGCATCATAAAATGTCAAGTCTTTAAATGTACATTTTCCAAATCTGTGTACTGTCTGTGTCAATGCTATGTAAAGATAATTGTGTATTGCTTTTTTCCTAATAAATAATTGAATTTTCACAAGAGATACCAAACTGATAAGCAATTGAACCTGCTGCTCTGCTCACACATACAGATACAGCTCAGATTTATGAACATACTGCACATGTTTAACCCATCCACCCCCCACCCCCCCCTTAGTTATTACCTAAACAAGCTCGGCATTATACTTTTGCTCACATAGGTCAGCCAAACTCAGGTACAAGTTCATTAAACGTGTACATATTTTTTTAACATCATATAGCCTACATAAGTGTAACACACAAAATACCCAATAATCCAGAAGGCTTGCATAAAAACAGTTTTTCCATGGTGATGTCAATATGGGTTAAGACTTTTTTTTCAGATAGGCTGGTTCCAGTGACCACAGTTGAACTTGGTAATCTGCGACCTTCACCTGTGCTACGCTTAATTTTGAGAGTCAGCGTAAACAGCTCCACTACAAGCAGAGTGCAGAAGAGCCAATACTTCATAACAGAATAATGACCCAATCAAGTGATGTATCTCTATTTGCGTACTTCTGTAGTTACATTTTCAGTTTGAGTGCATAATAGCGTCCCAAAGTGTATGTGCTATGCGTACCTGAATGTTGCACTCATAACACTGTGGAACTGTGGACACATCTCACACTAATCCATATCGGGCTACTTCAGACGTTGCGAGGCCAGCAGCTATTGCTGTTACTCCGGTGAACACCACATCATATAAATAAGTCAAAAGTGTTTAATGTTTCAACAAAGTTCAACATATGCTTTTATTTTTTTTAATGTTATTTTTTTAACCATCTGGGCCTTTTTTTATAGAGAAATTTGAAAGAGAGAAAAGGTAGAAGCAAAAGCTGTTTTTCAATGCTGATGTCATTACGGCTTAACATTGATAATGAAACAGAATGAGGAGCTATGGCCTCGGCCAAGCCATACACACTTGGATGAACACTCCTAGTTTAACCTAGCAAGGGCTCTGTTTTATAATAAATCCATGGAAACTACCACAAGTAGAATTATTACACAGATGGAAACATTAATTCAATACAAAGGAGAATAGAGTGGTGCAGAGATGTCACTTTTGTGGGCCGACCCAGAAGGTAGCAGGGCAAGGGATCCCTCAACACAAATAAATTGTAATTTCCAAGATAATCTTTACATAATGTGTATCATTTTTTCTATTACTTTTGAAGCATAAATGCAATGAGCAGAAGTAAAAAGCTTACAATAGGTGATAAACGAACTACATTACATTCGCATTGCTGGGCGTCACCACCGCTTTACTCAAGGCTCACTCGTGTTTGGCATGATGACGTTGCGTATTCTCATTTAGTCAGTTATCATTAAAGCCAGTTTTATGACACGTAGAAGCTGCAGTCGTTCACAAGTGCTGCATTTACTGACATATTTTATTTAATTAATTAAGGCCTCTCACTAAAAACCATTGACCATTGACTTCAAGACGAGAGAACCGGAAGTGGTTAAGTACTTACTCATTTCCGGGTTTCAAGACTGATTCCTGCTCAACGCTGTACGTCAACAGAGTTAGGAAAGTGTGCTGAAGCAAACGGGCTGAATCTTGAATCACTTCGTATTTACTAGTGCGCTGTATTTCCTGTCTGCCATTTTATGTTTGTGTAACTTCTGTATAGATGAATCCACTATTATATAGGGCACTCAAATTCCATCAACGAACCAACATTTGTGTCCATGGCATGTGAACTACTTTCTGATAACAATCTGACAAAGCTTTTTACCAATATAAAAATTGCAATTAAGTGACAACACTAGCAGACACTTTGCATAATGATGATGATAGATTTCTAAAATCTCCATTAATTGCTCACTATATAGTGCTGCAGGAGAACACGTACATTTGTTAGCTTATTACACCGGAAGCATCACCTGAAAGTAAGCCCAATTTTTTAAGGGTTTTTGGTGCGATGCCTGAAATATGTCTTTGGTTAACTAAAGCTTAAAAGATTATTAAAGTCTACAGCATAAAATACATCAGTAAATACAAGTCTTGTGAACATTTAAGAAGTTACGTATTAATGGACACTCGGGTAGAGAGAGGGGCGGAGTTGTCAACTGATCACCATTTGGTGGTGAGTTGGGTCGAGTGGCGGGGGAAGCCTCTGGACAGACCTGGTAAGCCCAAACGTGTAGTTCGGATGAACTGGGAACGTCTGGAGGAGGCCCAAGTTCAGGAGGCCTTCAACTCACACCTCCGGCAGAGCTTTTCGGGAATTCCTGTGGAGGTTGGGGACATTGAACCAGAGGGGGCGGTGTTCAAAGCCTCTATTGCCGAAGCCGAAGGAGTGGCAGACCGGGGTGGTGGTTCCCCTTTTCAAAAAGGGGGATCAGAGGGTGTGTGCCAATTACAGAGGCATCATACTACTCAGCCTCCCTGGGAACATTTACTCTAAGGTACTCGAAAGGAGGGTCAGGCCTGCGCTTTGTCACCAATCCTGTTTGTAATATACATGGATAGGATTTCGAGGCGTAGTCGTGGGGGAGGGGGTCTGCAGTTCGGTGGACTAAGGATTGCACCACTGCTTTTTGCAGATGATGTGGTTCTAATGGCTTCATCGGTTTGCGACCTTCAGCACTCACTGGATCGGTTCGCAACCGAGTGTGAAGCGGCTGGGATGAGGATCAGCACCTCCAAATCTGAGGCCATGGTTCTCAGCAGGAAACCGATGGACTGTCCACTCCAAGTAGGGAATGAGTCCTTACCCCAAGTGAAGGAGTTCAAGTATCTCGGGGTCTTTTTGAACAATGGAGCGTGAGATGGGCCGGAGAATCGGAGCAGCGGGAGCGGTACTGCAGTCGCTTTATCGCACTGTTGTGACGAAGAGAGAGCTGAGCCAGAAGGCAAAGCTCTCTGTCTACCGGGCCATATTCGTTCCTACCCTCACCTCTGGTCATGAAGGATGGGTCATGACCGAAAGAACGAGATTGCGGATACAAGCGGCCGAGATGGGTTTTCTCTGCAGGGTGGCTGACGTCTCCCTTAGGGATAAGGTGAGAAGTTCAGTCATCCGGGAGGGACTCGGAGTTGAACCGCTCCTTTCGCGTCGAAAGGAGCCAGTTGAGGTGGTTCGGGCACCTAGTAAGGATGCCACCTGGGCGCCTCCCTAGGGAGATGTTCCAGGCACGTCCAGCTGGGAAGAGACCAAGGGGTAGACCTAGGACCAGGTGGAGGGATTATATCTCTTCGCTGGCCTGCGAGCGCCTTGGGATCCCCCAGTCAGAGCTGGTTGATGTGGCCAGGGAAAGGAAAGTTTGGGGCTCTCTGCTGGAACTGCTATCTCCGCGACCAGACCACGGATAAGCGGGAGAAGATAGATGGATGGATGGATGGACGGACGGACGTATAAATGGTAGTCGCTAACAAAGGGCTAACTGAGACTCATTAAACGGCAGCATGCTGAAGTCTGCCTTTAGCAGTTAGATGAGCTTGGTGTATGTAATTTAAAGATGTAAATAGTGGTTTTCTAGTCTTTCTACATGTTGACTGCTGGGCAGGAAAACCACCAACCTCTGGTTAGAGGATGACCACTCTACCTCCTGAGCCACAGCCGCCTCTTTTATAGCCTAACGTTAGCGATTAACTGCTGACAATTATATGTATACTTAAATATTTGTAAAGTTGTGATCCTTTGTGAAGATTTTCTTGCTGAACAAAACTTTTAAATTCCATACTTTCTTTTGCCAGAGACCTTTTTTCTGTTCAAGATCCCATTTGATTTTGGTAGAGGCAACTATTGCTATCTTCCAGCGTACAAAGACACATATCTGAATCATTCAATTGCTGGGTAACTTTTATGTACTCACCAGTACCTTAGTGGGAGCAGTATCTCTACTTACTCCTTGACAGGTAATAGAAATGTGTCATCAACAACAAATCTGCCATTTTGGCAATGTACTAAGCCTATATGTAGGCTATAGTTACTGTAAGTGTTTCATTGTTCAAGACACAGGTATATTAATTATGCATGCTTAGAAAACATCAAATGTTAACATTCAGTTACCTTAACATTAGCAAAAAGCCCCTGTAATTTGTAAGGATCAATGTCTTACCTAAGTTACATTTCTATATATTGCCCCATTTGCCTCTATCTAAAATGTCTCTTTACACATCCTTTATACATTTAGATAAAAAAAACAGTGACAAAAGAAAAGCTACCAAAGCGAAGTAGCCAAGAGAATTCCATTTCCTATTACAATAGTGAGATTTACAGTTTGTTGCGAAACACACTAGCAATAATAGTAGCAAGCTGTCTCTTGCTAAAACAACACTCAATAGACACTTTGAATTACCTTATCTATTTTACTCTTTACTGTTTGTACTGTTGTGTACACACATATATCCTACATTAATTATTTAGTTTGTCTTACTCTGAGAACATCATGTTCTTTAACTGGATATACTTTGTCTCTGGCAGCAAAATGTAACCCTGTTAACAGCTAACCTGGTTTGTAAAATGTGCTAAAATTACTTTGGTAAGTTGAGAAGAATGAGATGATATGCTTCACAACAAGTGAGACAGGAAGTGCACTTTTGAATCTTGATTCTATGAGAGCCAATCAGATGCATGGTACACTCTGACACACACAATCATGATCATGTGACTTCAACATTTGTACTCACTGAAATACCCCAAAGTTTCCTAACAAGAGACAATATCAAGATGTTGCTGTTATGGGTAACACTGCTTTTTCTTCATCAAGGATGTAAGAGCAAGTATTCAGTAAAAATGTGCATGCCTACTATAGGGGTTAACTTTTGTGTTCTTGCATGATGTATGTACTGTTTCACGTGTTGTATTCTGTCATTTATTTCAGATACGCTGGTTCCAGTGACTACAGTTCCTCTTGGTGAATCTGTGACCTTCACGTGTGCTCTGCCTACTATTGAGTATAGCTTTAAACAGCTCTACTGGTTCAAGCAAAATGCTGGAGAGACTCTGACATTAATTGTGACACTGCTTGAATTTACAAAACCTGAGTTTGCACCAGAGTTTTCTGA